TTCCTGTGCAGTCCATCTGGCAAAGTCCACATGTATAGCTGCCATTTTTGTTGTTGAAAAAAGGTATTTGCAGCACATAAATTGTTGCAAAATTCTATCATGCGATCTCCAGCATTATTTTTATCACCTAGGCCATATTTTCCAGCTGCTGGTGATTCTTCTTTGTTTCTCACTTTTGCTTTCCAATCAACAGTGATAATCAGCACATCTTGATTGCATGCTTGGTCAATTTCAGACTGCAGAAGTTGATAAAAATCTTCAATTTCCTCATCTTTGGTGTAAATTTGAATAACAGTAGTAGTAACTGGCTTTCCTTGTAGGCATATGGATATTATCCTATCACCGACAGCATTGTACTTCAGGATAGTTCTTGAAACATTCTTTGTGATGATGCATGGCACTCCATTCCTCTTCAGTTTGTCATTCCCGGCATAGTAGATCATATGGTTGTCTGATTTAAAATGCCAAAACCGGTCTGTTTCAGCTCACTAATCCCCAGGATATCAATCTTTATGTGTTCCGTTTCATTTTTGACAACTTCCAATTTTCCTAGATTGATACTTTGTACATTCCATGCTCTCATTATTAATGGATGTTTGCAGCTGTTTCTCTTCAGTTTGAGTTGTGCCACGTCAGCAAATGGAGGTCCCGAAAGCTTTTCTTTATCCATACGATTAAAATTGATTCTACTCTGATGAGGCACCTCTTTCCCAGTCATATTTTGAGTGCCTTCTGACCTGAGGGGCTCGTCTTCTACCAGTATATCGCACTGTGTTTCAGGGCTATTCATAAAGTTGTCCAGTAATGTATCACACAGTTTTTCTCTGCTATTCATAAGGTTTTCCCTGGCCAGTTCTTTGAGAAGTGGATAGCCTCTTCCTTCTTCCAAGTCTGTCTGAGTCTGGAAGCTCGACTGAAACCTGTCCACCATTGGCAACCCTGCTGGTGTTTGAAACACTGGTGGTACAGCCTCCAGCCTCACAGCAACACACAAGCCACCACAGTAGGACAAACTGACAGACAAGTTCATATCCCTTAGCTGTTCTAAACCTCTCTACCCACTTCCTGGCCATCCCCCTGTTCTGTCAGCCCTGGCTTCTTCTGGCAGCTTCCTGCCTAAGGTGGGTTCTCTCTCTCCCTCCCCTTACCTGGATCAGGGCCATTGGCCCTGGCTGCTTCCAGCAGCTTCCTGCCTCAAGTGGGTTCTCTCCCTCCCTTCCTTTATTTGGTAACACTATATTTTTCCCAGCTCTTTAATCAAACCTCATGAATTAAACCATATTCTGATTGAGAAGCCATAGTAAGTCACCTGAGCTAAGATTATGCTTGGGCTGTATGGTTACAAATGAGCTGGATAAAATTAAAGCAAGGGCCAGACATTTTGCTTCCCTCTTGTTAGCTGTAATCATGATATATACACTAGTCTTACTCTATTGATTACTTTTTTTAAAAAATTTTATTGTGATACACTAGTCTTACTCTGGGAGCTCTGGTGGCATAGTACCTAAGGCATTTGACTGCTAACCAGAAGGCTGGTGGTTCAAACCCACCAGCCACTCCTTGGAAGGAAGGTTGGACAATCTACTTCCATAGTGATACCTCTTCAGAAACCCAAGGAGGGGTCGCTGTGAGTTTAATCCGACTCAATGGCAGTGTGTTGCGTTGTCCTACTCTACAGTGCTGGCCCACAAAATGCTTACCAGTCTGCAATAAGAAAGAAGCTTGTGTCAGAATATAAATATACACATTACTTTCTTCCTGGAAGAATATTTTCTACAAAGAAAAAAAAAAGTCATCTGAACTAAACAGTCATATTGATGTAATTGATTTACATTCTGGCACAAGCTTCTTTTCTTGTTAGAGACTGGTGGCAAGCAGTTCATGGACCAGTTGGGATCTGCCGATAACACTTGGAGATGCATTGATCTATAAGCAAAACCAAACCCACTACCATCGAGGCAATTCAAACTCATAGCGACCCTATATGACAAGTAGAACTGCCCCACAGGATTTACAAGGCTGTAAATCTTTATGGAAGCAGACTGCCTCACCTTTCTCCAGTGGAGTGTCTGGTGGGTTCAAACTGCTGACCTCTCGGTTAGCAGCCAAATGCCTTAACCTTGGCACCACCAGAACTTCTTATCTATAAGCAGGGTTATCTTGTATTAATAGTTCTTCATACTTATATGGCATTTTTCCTTCATTGTCTTATTGAATTCTTAAAGTGACCCGTGGGGTAGTCAGGGCAAGAATTATCTCTGTTGTACATGCAGATGATGAAACGAAGGCACAAAGAGACTATTTGTCCAAGTTTGTGTAACTAATAAATTCTATTTTCCCATTACCATACTCTTTGCATGCGTGTGATTATGGATCAGTACATTACTTAGTGAACATTATCGAGTAATGTGTTTATTCCAAATAAGCTAATTTTCAAACAACTGAGGGCTCCCTTATGCCTTCCCTTATTAATCAACAGACCTTAATGTCTGATATGTGCCAAGTACTGTGCTAGGCATGAAAAATATGGGAATTCCCTCAAGATGTTCACACTCTGGAGGCAAATATAAAAGATAAACCAATAATTACAATTGATTGTAACAAGAGCTAAGATCAAGAGTTGATTCCAGGTGTGTGCTTCAGATTCCTTTTTAATCTTAAATTAAATCCCAGAGCAAGAGATTCAGAGTAAAGTGGCCTGAAATTGAGTCCTGGCTCTGCCACTTACTTGGACAAGTCACTTCACTTCTCTTGAATGTGTCTTTCATCAACTGTAAAAGGTTAGTAATGTCAAATTTATATCTCTCTGAATAATGAATGAGAAAGTAGAGCCATTGTAAACCTGTTATTATATAAATGATCTCTTTTATTTAAAAAACCAGGAGAAATAAACTAAATGGATAACTGTTCTAGGCCAATGAAATTACTTAAAAATCAAGTCACCTTTCCTGCTTCATTTTTAATTCTTACAAATAGTCTTACTATAAGAGCATCTTGGAACTGGGAGGGATAGCCTCCACCCCATGTAACCCCTGATGGGTGAACATTCAGCTCCCAGTTGAAAAGTCTCTTGCCTTGTAAATAGCCCTATTCCAGTGCTGTGCAGTTGTTTCTGATAAAAAGTTCTTTATATTGAGAAGAAATCTCCTTTCTGTTTATTGGGGCCACTCAGAATAAACCTTATCTTAAAGAAAGTTTAAAAGGGAGCAAGAATAAGTGGAAAAGAATAGCCTTTATATTTTGTAAAATCACTTCTGAATTGCTTATGTAAGGACCTTTGTTATCTGATAGTTACCTTATTTTTACACAAATAACACATGCGTTATTTGCAAACCATGCAGTCCCCTCATGTTAGTTTCCTATATGTGCTATGTATGTTACATGTGTACATGGTTATTTATGTGGGTACATTATTTCCCAAAAAATATGGTACTCCTTCATTAAAGTCATAGATTGAAGGATATGTTGTAGGTACCTGATAGGAAAAACTGATTTTTATTAATATATATAGTATTGCTAAAAGGCAAATCTCTACCCATGATGAGGTATATTTTGCTAATTCCTCTTATTCAGTACTCTTAAGTTTTAGTACTGTCATGATGATTTCATTCCAGAGTATATAGTAGCGTAGTGCCTAAGGCACTTGACTGCTAAGAAGGCTGGCAGTTCAAACTCACCAGTCACTCCTCGGAAGGAAGTTTGGGCAATCTACTTCTGTAGTGATACTGCCTCGGAAACCCATGGAGGGGTCGCTATGAGTCGGGTCCAACTCGATGGCAAATAGCAACAACAGAACATACTGGCTTCCTGAGCCTCCTTACCAACCTTCATGAAGACGTCGGGCATCATAGTGGTTGTGCACATGTGCCTGGGTTTTGAATTCCAACATCAATGCTTAGTAGCAAATTACTTAAGCTGTCTGAGTCACAGTTTCTTCATCTGAAAATGGAGTTTATAATGCCTACTTTTCTATACTATAATGTTGAATAAATGAGATAAAGTCTGTAAATGCCTAAAATAGCCTCAACATTTAGCAGCTATTAATATCTCTACCACTATTATCACAATCATCATTGCACTGTACCTAATTAACTACATGGACCTGTTGGGTTTGACTCTTTGCTCTCCTGAGGCTCTGTTGTAAAATGATTACTTCTCCCACTTTATCACAGTTTTCATCTGTTTTCTCATCAGCATATAATCCCATTTAAAGATAATGCATTTTAGTTTCTGATACCATCCCTCGTATCCCATTGAGAAGATCTTCATTTCAAGGTAGCTTTGAGTGGATTGTCTTGATCTACCAGTTAGAATCTTGCCAGTAAAGAAACCGTATGGATATTTAATCTCCTTCTGTATTTGTCCTCTTTGCTTTTATGTGGTTACTACTCTATGTTGAGTGTAACCAAGAGCTATTTTTGAAGAAAAAAAGTAAAATTATCCCTTTTATTCTGATCCTTAGGACTCCAGTACAAGTTATCCACAGATCAGGAGCACCAGTTCTCTCCCTGCTGAGTTTTAGAGATGGATTCATTGCTAGTCAAGGTGGGTCCGGGGACCAGTTGGGAGAGGCACTTCCATGTAGTTCATTTAATTAAACATAGTTTCAAATGTCTTCTGTGGGCTCGGAGCCATGGTCGCAGGAGACATCAAGCTCAAATGACATAATATACTACACAAAAACATTGTTCTATATCCTGCTTTGGTGAGTAGTGACTGGAGCCTTATAAAAGTTTGCAAGTGGCCATCTAGATGCAACAATGTGTCTCTCCTTATCCAGAACAAAGAAGAATGAAGAAAACCAAAGATGCATGGAAACAATTAGTCCAAGGGACTGGTGGACCATGTGAACCTCAGCCTTTATGACCATGAGACCAGAAGAACTAGATGGTGCCTGGATACCACTGTCAACCACTCGGAAAAGATTCAGTGCAGGAGATCCTGGATAGAGTGGGAGAACAATATGGAACAAAACTCCGAATCATAAAAAAGACCAGGTTTACTGGTCTGATAGAGCTTTGTGAGACTCTCAAGACTATATATAGCCCCTAGTTAACCTTCAGGTCTGGAACTGAACTCACTTCTGTGATTTCTAGCCAAACAATAGACAGGCATACAGGATGAACATTTACAAATACACTCCTTAGAACCACCAGTCATAGGAGAACAGAAGAGCAGTATTTCTGTACAGGGAGATAGCTCAGGGGGCAGGAATGCATAGGAAAGAACACAGGGAAGAGATAACTAAAGGGAGAGAGTGGAAAGAGAGCTGTTACATTGTGCAGAATTGCAGTCAATATTACGAAACAAAATGTGTATGAACTGCTATATGTAAAATGAATTTTCTCTGTAAACTTTCACCGAAATCACAATAAAAATTGAAAAAAAAAAAACCACAAACTCAGTTATATCTGTCTGATCAATGGCTACATTAGGGCCATGATCCTACATGATTCTTTGGCACAGTGTGCTTATTACATAGTACTTATCACTCTACAGTGTAGCTATCTGTGTACATCCTTGAGAATAGGGACTGTGCCTTATTCATCATGTTATGCACAGCATTTAGTTCAATGTCTACCATGTGGTAAGTTCTCAATAAACTGATAGAATAAATGATTGAGCCCTTACTATTGTAAGATATGGAGGATTCAGTGATGAATCATTTACAGTTTCTGCCCTGAGGAGCTCACAGTTATTAAGGAAGACAGGCATGGGAACATGTGATCGTAGTACTGTTTGATAAGTAGAAGACTACTTGGGAACATGGAGAACAGCTAACTTTGGTGGTAGGAGTACAATCAAGAAAGACTTCATGGCCTAGGTGACATGTAAGCTGATGAAGATTTCACCAGGTGACATGTAAAGATGGACATTTAAGGCCAGAGCTATAATGTATGCAAAGGCATAGACAAGGCAAGAAGACGGACGCTAGCATTTATTGAGTGCTTACTATATGATAGGTATTGTATCGAGTGCCTTATATACAATGTTCTAGACAAAGTGAGGGAGCTCTGGTAACATAGTGCCTAAGGCAGTTGACTGCTAACCAGAAGGCTGGTGGTTCAAACCCACCAGCCACTCCTCGGAAGGAAGGTTGGGCAATCTACTGCCGTAATGATACTGCCTTGGAAACCCAAGGAGGGGTTGCTATGAGTCGGGGCCGACTCGACGGCACATAACAGCAAGAGAAAGTGAGTGGCTTGGTGTAGTCAGAACAGAATATTTGGAATAGAGTCTGGGGGGGGTGGAATATATGAAACAATGTATCCATAAAGGGAGACTGGATCCTCAAGAAATGATGTAAGAAGGACTAGACTCTTAAAATGTGGAATGACCACATAACCTGAGTGTTTCAGTGTTATCAGTTAGGATATTTTTGGCTGTTAGCAACAGGATACTCATTTAAATAAATAAATAAATAGGAAAGTGTACCATTTCACTTATCAAGAAGTCCATGTATTTGATGGTTCCAAATTAGGTTAATTTGTTCATTTGTTTGTGCATTGAGTCAGTTCTGACCCATAGCAACTCTATGCCGTAAAGTAGAACTGTCCTTTAGGATTTTCTGTCTTTTTTTTTTCCCTTTAAATTTTATTTTTGTTGTTGTTGAGGATATACACAGCAAAACATACAGCAGTTCAACAGTTTCTGCATGTACAGTTTAGTGACATTGATTACATTCTTCTAGTTGTACACCTATTCTCACCCTTCCTTTCTCATTTGTTCCTCATTAATATAAACTCAGTGCCCCCAAGGTTCCTGTCTCACCTTTCAAGTTGTTATTGTCAATTTGATCCCATATGGATAGTTCTTAAAAGATCGTAATGCTAAAGGCAGACCCTTTAACTAATTAAGCTAAACTGTTGTTTGGTTTTAAAATGATATTTTTGGTTTAAGATTTAAAGATTATCTCAGGGCAGTAGTTTCAGGGATTCATCCATCCTCCATGGCTCCAGAAACTCTTTAGTCCATGAGAATTGAAATTCTGTTGTACATTTTCCACTTTTGATCAAGACTCTTCTATGGGATCTTTGATCAAAATTATCAGTAATGGTTGTTGTTGTTAAGTGCCATCAAGTCAGACCCGACTCATAGCTACCCTTCCTTGGGTTTCCGAAGTGGTATCACTACGGAAGTAGCTTGCCCAACCTTCCTTCCGAGGAGTGGCTGGTGGGTACTTGACTGTAATCTTTGCAGAAGCAGATCACCAGGTCTTTCTTCCACAGAGCCTCTGGGTAATTTTGAATGATCAGACTTTTGAGTGGTTAACTATTGCACCATCAGGACTCCTTTAGATAATTTAATGATTCAAAATGAAGTCAATAGAGGAGATTAAGGAAACTTGACTGCTAAATCAATGTGCTATCCTGGATTGGATCCAGGACATAAAAGAAAAGGGCATAAAGGAAAAACTGGTGATACTCATAAAAAGTATGGAATTTAATTATAATAGTATTGTACCAGTGTTGGTTTCTTGGTTTTGAACAAATGTAAGATTTTAACATTACGGGAAACTGAAACTGGCTGAAGGGTATATGGAAACTTTCTGTACTGTCTTTGTAACTTCCTGTAAATCTAAAATTATTCCAAAATGCATAGTTTATTTTTCTTAAAAATTTAAATATAAATAAAAGCTTTAGCAAGGAAAAAGAAACAAAATCAAGAACCCAGCTTCCATCCATCTTTTTTCTCTCCTCCCTGGGTTTTGTCCTAAAGCTTATTCCCTCGTGGTCACAACTTAAGATAGCTACAGCAACTCTCATCCTCACATAATAGTGGATACTTTATTAACCTTTTGAAAATGCGGGAAATTTCCTCGGGAGCAGTTCAGTAGACTTGCTCTTATAACTCATTGGCCAGAATTATGTTGCATGCACCTACCTAAGGCAGTCATTGGCAAGGGGGATGGAATTACCATAACTGACTTGGTCTAATCAGGCTTTTTCTCCTGGATCACCTGTTACTGGAAACAATTTTAAATTCTTGTAGCAAGGAGAAGGGCCAGGAATAGCTGTTGAGTAGACAGCCTACAATGTCTAGGTTTTCTGGCCATCTCTCTAATGTAGGTACCTTTCATCCCTGTCAAACTAATACCTTATTTCACTGGCCCTTATTCAGAATTTCCAGACTTTTGTAGAGAGTAACCAGTAATCTGTGACCTAATTTTCTAGCACTCTTTCTCTCTTCTGCATGGATTAGCACCATTTTGTGATGCAGGAAACAGCTGTTATATGTGGCCACTTCCCTTGATGTTGCTGCTATCACTCATTATAATCCTTTTTCATTGAATTCCCTTAGCTGCCAGATTTCTGGGATGAGAGATTTTGTTGTAGTTGTTGTTTAAATTGTGATTTGGGTGAAAGTGTACAGAGCAAATTGGTTTTCCATTCATCAATCCATACACATTCTGTTTTGTGACGTTTACTGCAGTCCCCACACTCTAACGGCTTTCCAGCATTCTTCCCACTTCTTCCCTGCGCCCACCCCCTCTTTTCTTCCTACCTTCCTGTCCTCTCCCACCTTCCTAGCTCTGTCCTTGGGCAGATGCTGTCCTCTTGATCTCACATGCTTGATTATTCTAATGAGTGCATACCTTCCTGATATCACTGTTCACTTTATAGGCCTGTCTGTTGCTTGGCTGCCAGTTGAATCAACAGGGATTAAGTTTAATTCCTAGCTTGAAGGATATCTAAGAGCCATAGTCTTAGGGTTCTACCAGTCTTCATCACACCAGTAAGCCTGGTCTTTTTTATTATTTTGAGTTTTTTTCCACATTTTCCCCCGCTCTGGGACCTCTTACTGTGATCTCTTTCAGAGTGCTCAGCAATGGTAGCCTGGCACCATCTAGTTCTTCTGGTCTCAGAGTTGTGGAGGCTGGGATTCACATGCTCCATTAGTTCTTTCACTGATGGTTTCCTGCATCTTTGATTTTCCCCATTCTTCTTTGCTCCAGACAAGGAGAGAAAAATAATTGCTCCTTAGATGGTTGCTCACAGCTTTTAAGTTCAGTCGCTGCTCACCAAAGCAGGATGTAGAACATCGTCTTTGTGGATTATGAGATGTCAGTTGACCTTAGTGTCCCCTGAGATTTTGGTCCTGAGTCTCCATACCTAGCAACTCATTCCCTCAAGCTGTTTTTTCACAACTTTGTCCCCTGTGTGCTCTACTACATTCATGTATATATTTGCACCAAACACACTGCTTTCGAGTCAGATCCGACTCATAGTGACCCCTCCTTGGGTTTCTGAGGCAGTATCACTATGGAAGTAGATTGCCCAATCTTCCTTCCAAGGAGTGGTTGGTGGGTTTGAACCACCAACCTTCTGGTTAGCAGTCAAATGCTTTAGGCACTCCACCACCAGAGCTCCCATATATATTTGCAGCACATATAAATACATAGGTAGAAATAGCCTCTGTCAAACCTATCTGTATTGATGGGTGTAGTCCTATTTGCCTTACGACCCCTGTTTAGATTGTCTATCTATATATCCACTTGTAAATTATTACTATTACTGTTATTGCAGGATTGTGTATGTAATAGTGTTCTTTGTACCTTTAACTCTTGTGCTTCTCTGTCTTTCACTGCCTTGGTCCTTTTATGCTGACCTTCCCCTTGTTGTATGTCGCCTTTCCCTTCACCCCAACTAATACTAATCTAGTTGGTGATTGTCCGTCCCTTCCCCTCCCACCTCTGGTAACCTTCAAAGAACAATTCTTTCTGTGTGTAAACCTTTTTTTTTTTAAACTTTTTACAGTAGTGGTCTCATATAATAATTGTCCTTTTGTGACTGAGTAATTTCACTCAGCATAATGTCCTCTAGGTTCATCCATGTTATAAGATATCTTGCAGATTGGTTGTTATTCTTTAACATTGTGTAGTATTCCATTGTGCATTTGTACCATTTTGTGGTTATCACTTCATCCATTGATGGGCATTTAGGTTGTTTTCATCTTTTTGCTACTGTGAATAATGCTACAGTGAACATGGGTATGCATGTATCTGTTCATGTCATGACTCTTACTTCTCTAGGATATATACCTAGTAATAAGATTGCTGGATCATATGATATTTCTATCTCCAGCTTCTTAAGGAAGTGCCATACCACTTTCCAAAATGGTATACTACTCTACAGTTCTGGGATGAGATTTTTGCTGCCATGCCACACTCTTCCCTTGAGAACCTCTGCAGTCTACCTTCTGCCCCTGCTCTTCTGCTCAAATTGCCCTCTTAAAGGCCACCAATCATGTGTTTCTTGGTAGATCTAGTGACTTTTTCTATGTACAGCCCTGTCTCATCCACTGGTCTCCAAGTTTTCTTCAGCACATTTACCATATCTTGTTCATCTCTATATTGCCAACTCTTGGATAGGACTAAAAACTATTTAGCAAATGTTTGTTGAATGAATGGGCAAATCTATCTTCATCTTTTATGACTCTTAGTAATGAGTTCTGTTACTGTTATCTCCTTCTTAGACTGTTATCTCCTTTGACCTCTGTGACACTGTGTGTGACTTATTCTCTCTCTTCAAATCTCCTTTCTCTAGTTTCAATAACTTATATTTACAAATGCCTAACATAATTCATGATATACTATAGGCTCTCAAATTGATTTGTTGAACTTGAATTCTTTTCCTGTTTCTGCTGTTGTACCAGCAGTATTTCCTGATTGAGTTTATTTTAGTTTCTTAGTCTGCTATTGAAGCTCTGATAGTATAGTGCCTAAGGCACTTGACTGCTAACCAGGAGGCTGGCAGTTCAAACCCACCAGCAACTCCTCAGAAGGAAAGTTGGGCAATCTACTTCTGTTGAGATACTGCCTTGGAAACCCAAGAAGGGGTCACTATGAGTTGGGTCCGACTTGGTGGCACAAAACAACAACAACAGTACTGCTGTAATTGAAACACAAATGGGTGGCTTTAAGAAACAGATTTTTTTCTCACAGTTTAAGAGGCTAGAAGTCTGAATTCAGGACACCAGTTCTAGGGGAAGGCTTTCTCTCTCTCTTGCCTGTGGGGTAAGGTCCTTGTCTCTTTTCAGCTTTGTTCTTGGTTCCTTTGTGATCTTCATGTGGCATGGTTCCTGTCTTGCTTCCTTTGTGCTTCCTTGTTTCTGTGCCTAATCTGCTTTTTTTATATCTCGGATGTAATTGAATTTAAGATATACCCTGCACTGATAGGGCCTCATTAACATAACAAAGAGCTCTATTTCCACTTGGAAATAGTATAGGAATTAGTATTATAACACATACTTTTGGGGAACACAGCTTTTTTGACCTTTTGGCATTTCTTTTTCTATACTTCCTCAAAGACCTCATTGTTTCAACTGTCATTTCTGTGTTAATGATTGCAATTCATAGTTCTAGCCTTAACTGCTATTTAGCCCTCATTTTATTGGGCAGTAGCATGATGTGGAAAGAGCATAGCCTTTAGACCCAAACTGAACTGAATTTAAATCCTTAGTCTACCACTTACTGTGAGTTTGGCCTCCAAATCCTCCCAGACCAGCATGCTAAGCTGCCAATATACGTCATTCATAGTTGGCCCAGCTAATAAAACTTGTTTGCCATTAGATGTGTTAGAACCATCTTCTTAGGGTAATGATCAACAGAAATAAATGGAAAGATTTAGTTTTGAACTCTTTTGAATGCAGGCTTCTCTACAGTTACCTAAATTTTCTTTCTGTCTTTCAGGTGATGGAAGCTGTTTCATTGTCCAGCAAGATTTAGACTATGTCATTGAGCTCACTGGGCCTGACTGTGACCCTGTATACAAGGTACCGTATATACTGACTGATAGCCAGGGTGATTCTCATCCAGAATTCAGGGCTTCAAGGGGCCTGAATCTGGCTACTTTGTGGTTACTAGGGATGATAATTGTTATTGTATGAAGCAGGATGGTGAGATGGAAAGAAATCAGGATTTTAAATTCACAGTTACTTCATCACATATTTTGCCTCTTCAGCGTATCAGTTCATCTGTAAAATGTGGATAATAATGAGATAATGTATGTGAAAGCTTTTTGTAAATTTAAAGTATCCTATAAATATTGTAAGAGCTCTGGTAGCATAGTGGCTAAGACACTTGCCTGCTAACCAGACGGCTGGCGGTTCAAACCCACCAGCCACTCCTCAGAAGGAAGGTTGGGCAATCCTACTTCCGTAGTGATACTGCCTCGGAAACCCAAGGAGGGGTCGCTATGAGTCAGGGCCGACTCGACAGCACATAACAACAACAACAACAATAAATATTGTAGGATCTCTGGTGGCATAGTGCCTAAGGCATTTGACTGCTAACCAGAAGGCTGGTGGTTCAAACCCACCAGCCATTCCTCAGAAGGAAGATTAGGCAATCTACTTCCGTAGAGATACTGTCTTGGAAACCCAACCAGGGGTCACTATGAGTCGGAACCAACTTGACGGCAGTGAGATAAATGTTGTTGTTGTTAGGTGCCATCAAATCAGTTCCTCTTATAGCGACCTTATGTACAACTGAACAAAACATGGTCTGGTCCTGTGCCATCCTCACAATTGTTGCTGTGTATAAGACCATTGTTGTAGCCAGTCACTCCATCTCATTGAGGGTCTTCCTGTCTTTTACGTACCCTCTACTTTACCAAGCAGGAATGTCCTTCTTCAGGGACTGGTTGTTCCTGATAACCTGTCCAAAGAATGTGAGATGAAGTCCCATCATCCCTTCTAAGAAGCATGCTGGCTGTACTTCTTCCAAAGCAGATTTGTTCCTTCTTCTTGTAGTCTATAGTATATTCATTCAGTATTCTTTGCCAGCACCATAACTCAAAGACTTCATTTTTCCTTGGTCTTCCTTATTCATTGTCCAGCTTTGAAATGCATATGAGGTGATTAAAATTACTATGTCTTGAGTCAGTCTATCAGTTCATTTTAAAATGTGAATAATAATGATAATATATGTGAAAGCTTTTTGTAAATTTAAAGTATCCTATAAATATTGTAGGAGCTCTGGTGGTATAGTGCCTAGGGCATTTGACTGTTAACCAGAAGGCTGGCAGTTCAAACCCACCAGCCACTTCTTGGAAGGAAGACTGGTCAATCTACTTCTGTTGAGATACTGCCTTGGAAGCCCAAGCCGGGGGTCCCTATGAGTCAGAACCAACTCAATGGCAATGAGATAAATAAAACTTTAAAGAGGTCTTTTGCAGCAGATTTGCCCAGTGCAATATATCATTTGATTTATTGACTGCTGCTTCCATGGTTGTGATTGTGGATCCCAGTAAAATGAAATCCTTGATAATTTCAGTCTTTTCTCCGTTTATCAGTGTTCTGGTTACATAGTGCTGCTCTAACAAGAATATACCTTAAATGGGATGGCCTTAACAAACAGGAGTTTTATTCTTGTAATTTGGAGGCTTTAAGTCCGAGTTCAAAGTGCCAGGCTCTAGGGGCTGTGTGACATATTTTCTTTCACATTCTAGTTACCATTAATTATCAGTGCATCTTTATTGCATGTTTGATCAATTTCAGACTGGATAAGCTGGTAACAATCTTCATTTTCTTCATCTTTGATGTTAGTTGTTGGTATGTAAATTTGAATAATAGTCACATTATCTGGTCTTACTTGTAGGTGTATGGATACTATGCTATCACTGACAGCACTGTCCTTCGGGATAGATCTTGAAACATTCTTTTCTGACGAGGAATGTGATGCCATTCCTCTTCAATTTGTCGTTCCCAGCATAATAAACCATGTGATTGTCTGGTTCAAAATGGCCAATACCAGTTCATTTCAGCTCACTAATATCTAAGATATTGATCTTTATGTGTTCCATTTCATTTTTGACAACTGACAGTTTTCCTAGATTCATACTTTGTCAATTTCACGTTCCAGTTATTAATGGATGTTTGCAGCTGTTTCTTCTCATGAGTCATATCACATGAACAAATAAAGGTCTCTAAAGCTTTACTCCAGCCACACCATTAAGGTCAACTCACTGAAAAGGCAACTCTTCCCTAGTTATATTTTGAGTGCCTCCCAACCAGAGGGGCTCATCTTCCAGCACTGTATCAGACAGTGTTCTGCTGCTATTCGTAAGGTGTCCATTGGCCAATTTTTGTAGAAGTAGATAACCATGCCCTTCTTCCCAGTCTGTGTTAGTCTAGAAGTTCTGCTGAAACATGCCCAACATGGGTGACCCTGCTGGTATTTGAAATACTTCTGGCATCGCTTCCAGCATCACAGAAAAATGCAAGCCAGCACAGTACAACACAATGACAGACAAGTGTTGACTTACAAATATTATCCATCGTTATTTCAAGTTCAAAACTGATTTGCTCATTTGATTAGACTTAAAAGAAAAAGAACAAATGGAGAAATATATAGTGATCAGATATTATAGTAGATATTTTACACATATTGTCTCATTTGAATTTTGTTACCATTTCTTGAGATATTATATATATAAAAAAAAAACTCACACTGCCATGGACTTGATTTGCCTCATAGTGACCCCTCCTTGGGTTTCCGAGGTGGTATCACTACAGAAGTAGATCGCCCAGTCTTTCTTCCGAGGAGTGGCTGATGGGTTTGAACCACCAGCCTTCTGGTTAGCAGTCAAATGCCTTAGGCACTACGCCCCCTCATTATTCCTGTTTTTCTTACATTTTTCAAATGTTACACAATTAATACATATCTATAAAAATTCAAACAATACAGATATACACAGGCTTAAATTCTCCTTTAAAGCTTCTTTAATTCTACTCTTCTCTCCAGAAGTAGCTAGTATTAACAGTTTGGCATAAATATTTCAAGTCTGTATTCAGAAAATCTGTGCACTTATATCTTGGTGTTTATGTATTTTATGTAAATAATACAGTTTTTTCTTTGCACATAATTGGAATAGTTCTGTATAGATTGCCCTGTGACTTTTTTTTCCCCCCCATTTAATATCTTAGACCTCTTTTCAGGTAAATGCATATGGACCCACCACACACACACACACACACACACACACACATAATTTTTTAAAAAATTCCTCCATAGTGTTTTTTATTATGAATTAACATATTTTACAAATGAGGAAAACTTGGGTCCCGAAAGGATTAGGAAGTTGCTTTAGATTATGCAGCTACACAGTAGCAAACCTGAGATTAAATTAACTCTAAAATTTATGCTATTCCCACTAAGTTACTGGTTCTTAACTTTCTTTGAATCTCAGACATCTTAGAGAACTTGATGATAAAATTCTCCCCAAAAAAATCCCACATATTCAGAACTTTTCTGCATGCAATTTTATGGGGTACCCAAGCCTGTCTATGGAAATCTCCTCCCCAGATTCGGACCCTGTGCTCTAAACCATGTGCAGATGGGCTTTTACTCTCCACTTAGAGTAGTTAGACTCCCTATTCTGTAGTCCTTGACCCTGGCCAGCCATTTTGTAAATACATATCCAGACGGCTGGCGGTTCAAACCCACCAGCCACTCCTCAGAAGGAAGGTTGGGCAATCCTACTTCCGTAGTGATACTGCCTCGAAAACCCAAGGAGGGGTTGCTATAGTCGGGTTTGACTCGATGGCACATAACAACAACAACAACAACAATCATATGTAAAATATATGTCATGAATGTAATTCTTCATCTCCTACCTTCATAGTCAATAAATCTGCTTAAACTCCTTGGGAAAAGGGGGGACTGTGGAAAGGCTCTATTGTTTTGAAGAATCCCAGTCTTCTTTTGAACTGTGAACTCTTGTGTTCCAGGTAGCCACATGGGAGAAGCAGATCTACACTTCCTGTCGAGATGGTCTTGTGCGACGCTATCAGCTTTCTGACCTTTGACCCCTTAGAAAAAGGATTCCCTGGCTAGTGAAAAGATTGATCCTGGTCAGCAATGAGCAGAAACAGTTCAGCCCTTCTCATGGCCCTTTATTGACTTGGGCACCCCTTGAAAGTCACAGAAACTCAGCTACACTGCCGATGTTGTCATCTCATGACAAGACCTGCTTTGAACTGAGAAGACTCACATGAACTCACTGCATTTTCCCCAACTTCTCTTTGTGTAAGCTCACCGCAGCACCACAGGGCAAGATATGAGTGCTTACAATTTGATCTCATACCAGTTATGTTAGATGTTTATAAGAACCAGATGACTAAAGCCTGTACTCTGAATGAAATAAAGGAAATGTGTTTGGAGAGGCCTGAATTTGAAAAAGTCTGTTAAATACTCTCTCTCCAGCAAGGGTTCCTGGTAAGAGGAGGGGCCCAGGCCCCACCCCCAAGAGGCAGGAAAAC